ATTTCTCTGAATTATTACTGCTTATATTGTTAGTTTTATTTGCTTTCTCTTTTCTCTTACCATCTTTTTTTTTTAAATTGTGATTTGGGTGAAAATTGACAGAGCAAATTCACTTTCCATACAGCAGTTCACATACACTTTGTCTCATAACATTGACTGCAATTCACCACAATGCAACATCTCCCCTTCCACTTCCCCTCATAGTTACCTCTTCCCTGTGTCCATCCCTCCATGCACTCCTGCCCCCTCAGCTGTCTCCCTGTGCATAAGCAGTCCTTCTTTGTTCTATGCTTGTTCTTTCCAGGGAGTATATCAACCTCAGGTAAATGTTCAACTCATATGCCTGTCTTTTGTTTGGCTGGAAGCCACAGGTGTGGGTTCAATTCCAGACCTGAAGGGCAGTTAGGGGCCATAGTCTCAGTGGTTCCACCTGGTCCCCCCCCCCCCCCATTTTCCAAATGATTTTAAGTTTTGTTCCACATTGTTCTGTGGAATGTAATATGTTAATCTATGCAGGATTTCCTCCATAGATCCCCCTCCTAGTGGTTGACAGTGGTAGCCGGGCACCATCTAGTTTTTCTGGTCTCATATTCATATTGACTGCAGATCACGTGGTGTACCAGTCATTAGGGCTAATTGTTTCCACGAATCTTTAGTTTTCTTGATTCTTCTTTGCTCTGGATGAGGAAAGACCCGTTGTTACATCTAGATGGCTGGTTGCAAGCTTTTAAGATCCCAGTCGCTACTCACTGAAGTAGGAGGTTGAACAGTGTTTTGTGTAGTATGTTATGCCAATTGAGCCTGATGTCCCCTGAGACTATGGTCCTGATCCCACACATTCAACTACTTGCTCCCTCTGGTCCTACCATCTTTTTAAAAAGGCTTCTGTTTAACAGAAACATAAATGTGATTATTTACATCTTACAACTGGACAAAACCTAAAATATGCCCTTAAGTTTCAAACTCAAACCAAACTCACTTCTATTGAGTTGACTCTTGACTCATAGCAACCCCAGTTGGGTTACCAGGGCTGTTAATATTTATGGAAGCAGACTGCCTCATCGTTCTTCTGTGGAGTGGCTGGTGGGTTTGAACCATAGACCTTTTTGTTAGTAGCCAAATGTCTTAACCACTCCATCACCAGAGCTCCTTTAGAGTACTATATCAGCAGGACATGCTGTTTTAAAATTGTGGAAGTCCGTAATATCCCGTGGACAGTTGAGATGTTAACATTATCAGATGGTGTATAGTATATAGCATAGTAGTTAAGAGCCTCCAAACCCAGTTCTCTCTAGTCGGACCTGACTCATAGTGACCCCTCCTTGGGTTTCCGAGGCCATATAACTATGGAAGTAGATTGCCCAAACTTCCTTCAGAGAAGTGGCTGGTAGATATGAACCACCAGCCTTCTGGTTAGCAGTCAAATACCTTAGGCACTGTGCCACCAGAGCTTCCAGGACTCTAAAATCAGAGTCTCATTGAAAACTTGACCATATCAACTTAATATCTGGGTTAACTTTAGATTAATCAGTTAATCCCCTGTAAACCTTAATTTCTTTATCTGCAAAATGGAGATAATGTCAGTACCTGTGTTATAGGGAGCTTGTAAATATTAAAACTCTCAGCAAAATGACTAGTATATAATAAACACTCACTAAATAATAGCTTTTGTTATCAGTGGAGGGATTCTAGATAATGACTGATACACATATTTTAAGCAATATTCCGATTAATTAAAAAAAGAAAAAACCATATATCCCTCTTTACTCTTGAAATAGAATTCATTTTGAGTTGATTATTACTTGTTATATACTTGTCATTCCAGAGTAATCACACTCACAGCAACAACAAAAAAACCCACCAAACTCACCGCTGGCAAGTTGGATCCGACTCATAGTGACCCCACCTTGGGTGTCTGAGGCAGTATCACTACAGAAGTACATTGCCTAATCTTCGTTGCGAGGAGTGGCTGGTGGGTTTGAACCTCCAGCCTTTTGGTTAGCAGTCACATGCCTTAGGCACTATGCTACCAGAGCTCCTAGAGTAATCATGAAAAGAAATTTTTACTTTCATGAACTAGGTTAGTCCTGAAAAGGAATTTTCTAACATTATTGAAAGAATATTGCAATGACCAGACTTGGTGTACCATTGCTGTTTCTGAGATGGGAGAGAATTGGATTCTTACCTTAAAGATTTGGGTATTGTTACCTGAGGTTCTGTTCTCTGGTTCATTATTATAGACGTGAGATTGCCAGTATGCTCACATTTTGGAAGACGTTTAGCCTGTTTGAGTTTGACCAGGGTCTATAGTGATTTCAGCATCTTATTTTTGAGCATGTGATTTACTTGAACATTTTCAATAAATATGTATAAGGATTAATTCTACATTAACGATTAGATTTTTGAAAAATATGATTTAATATGATGAAGCCTGTTGTTACTTGAAGGAGCTCTGGTGGTGCAGTGCGTAAGGCGTGTGACTGCTAACCAGAAGGTTGGTGTTCAAACCCACCAGCCGCTCTGCAGAAGGAAGACAGGGCAACCTACTTCCGTAAAGATTTACTGTCTTGGAAACCCAATGAGGGTTGCTGTGAGTCCAAACTGACTTGGTGGCAGTGGGTTTGGTTTTTTTTTGCAGTTACTTGACCTAAGCTAGTTCTTTGGTAAAATGTTGTTAGGAAATCATAGAGATTTAGAACTATATTTTATCAATGATAGAAACTTGGAAAGTAGATAGCTATGGTGTGCATTTTTAAAATTTAAATTGTAGACTATAAATACATTGACCTTTTTTTAAAAAAATTTAAGCTTTATGGGTAAAGCTCAAGGCTCCAGTAACATTTTTCTTACAACATAAATTCCCTTCCCCTCTAACCAGTGCTGTTTCAGATTTGGCATTCCCATGTAGCAATTCTTTACAGATTTTTATGCATATGTTAGGAATATTTTCCACCTCATTTTTTATTTATTTTTTAACTTTGCTTATGGTATTTTTTGGTATAATCTCATTTTGACGTAATAAAACATACCAATATTTTTATTTATGGTTTTTGCTTTTTATTTTTATTTAAGAAAATCTGCTCTAACTTGAGTTCACAAGGATATTCTCCTAATTTTTCTTCTAGTACTTTTAGTAGCTTTTAGATTTTAATGTACATGGAATTTATTTCTGTATACTTTGTTAGGGAGCTCTGGTAGCATAGTGGCTAAGGCACTTGACTGCTCACCAGATGGCTGGTGGTTCAAACCCATCAGCCACTCCTCGGAAGGAAGGTTGGGCAATCCTACTTCCGTAGTGATACTGCCTCGGAAGCCCAAGGAGGGGTCGCTATGAGTCAGGGCTGACTCGACGGCACATAACAACAACAACAACAACAACATACTTTGTTAAGTAGAGATATAATTTATTTTTTTCTCAATAGTACCACTTATTCAAACCTCACTTATTGAATGGTGTGTCCTTTCTCCACTGGTTTTAAATATTACTTGTAGTATATGCTAAATTCCCATATGTAATTTAGACTGTATTCCTGGGCCAGTACCATACAGTTTTAATTACTGTAGTTTTACAAGGCTACAGTTTCTTAGGAGACACCCTGAGGATCAGATGTGTTTTTAGAACCCAGGTTTTTCCCCTACTGAATTTTATGTAGTATCCTATAATCATACACAATAAGTTTTCTCAGTGAAATATATGAATAATTTACTGGCATCCAGTCGGATCCGACTCATGGCAACCCCTCCTTGGGTTTCTGAGGCAGTATCACTACGATAGTAGATTGCCCAACCTTCCTTCTGAGGAGTGGCTGGAAGGTTTGAATCTCCAGCCTTCTGGTTAGCAAATGCCTTAGGCACTACACCACCAGAGTTCCCATTTACTAAACTAGGTACACAGAAACAATGAGTAGCCTTATACCAGTTCAACTCAAGTTTTGTTCTGACTTAAAAAGGGAAAAAACAAAACACTTATTTTCAGAGCTTTTTGGACTTTTTACATTACAAATGATGATTATAAACCTGCAGTTTATCTTGCTGTTGGAGCAAGTTGTCTTTTTTTGTTCTATTTCAGATTGTTTTGGTTATTCATGTACCTTTACTCTTCCATTTGAATTTTAGAGTTGGTTTGTTCAGTTATGTGAAGAAGTTTATAGATATTTTCTCTGAGATTATACTAAGTAGTTGGGGAGAGAACTGATACCTTTACAGTGTTGGTCTTTTTGTCCATGAACATGGATAACCTTCTTTTGTTTAAGGGAAACTTTCATGCGTTTCAGTGAAGCTTTATAGTTTTTTTTTTTAAAGCTTGCACGTTTTTTAAAATTTAAGTCAAAGTGTTTTAATGGTTTTGTGGGTATTGTGAAATAGATTTTTTTTTTTTAAATTGCATTTTCTAATTGTTATTACTGCTGTACAGGAAAGTATTGATATTTTTATATTGATATTGTTTCTGGTCAATGTGTGGTGAGTTTTATTTTCACTTCTAATTACTTGTCAGCTGATTTTGGGTTTTCCAGTTAGAAAATCATATATGCACAAAGATTGAGTTTTATCTCTTCCGTGCCACCTTTTAAGGAGCTCTGGTGCTGCAGTGTCTAAGGCATTTGACTGCTAACCAGAAGGTTGGTGGTTCAAACCTACCAGCCACTCTGCAGAAGGAAGATGGGGCAGTCTACTTCTGTGAAGATCTACTGCCTTGGAAACTCAGTGGGTGTCGCTGTGAGTCAGAATCAACTCAGTGGCAGTGGGTTTGGATTTTTTGGTTTTGCCATATACCTCTGGTTTCTTTTTCTTCCCCAGTTGTGTAGTATGTTTTCAGTATTCATTTTGGAGACTCTAAAGTATATTTTACAATAGTGTTTTTTGTACATAAATTGTGCTGTAATCAAATATTGAATGCATGAGGAAATAAATCATAAAAGGGGGAGATTATTTTCAGGTGGGGGTAATTAGAAGAGAAATATTTATTACTGGAGTATTTAATGTGTAATCTTTTCATTACAGATATGGTGTAAGATATTTCTTCAAGATTGGACAGCTGGGACCTGTTATTTTTGACTAGCCTTAAGCTGATAATAGCCATAGAGAAACCTCACGGAATTCCATTTTGTTTTTCTGCTTTACACCTTTCCTGGCACCTAAGTTCACCTTGCAACCATGTATGGAAGTGCTCGATCAGTTGGGAAGGTGGAACCAAGCAACCAGAGCCCTGGGCGTTCACCTAGGCTTCCACGTTCCCCTCGCTTGGGTCATCGCCGAACCAATAGTACAGGAGGGAGTTCTGGAAGCAGTGTTGGAGGAGGCAGTGGGAAAACCCTTTCAATGGAGAATATTCAATCCTTAAATGCTGCCTATGCTACATCTGGCCCTATGTACCTAAGTGATCATGAAAATGTGGGTTCAGAAACACCTAAAAGCACCATGACACTTGGCCGTTCTGGGGGACGTCTGCCTTATGGTGTTAGGATGACAGCTATGGGCAGTAGCCCCAATATAGCTAGCAGTGGGGTTGCTAGTGACACTATAGCATTTGGAGAGCATCACCTCCCTCCTGTGAGTATGGCATCCACTGTACCTCACTCTCTTCGTCAGGCAAGAGATAACACAATCATGGATCTGCAGACACAGCTGAAGGAAGTATTAAGGGAAAATGATCTCTTGAGGAAAGATGTGGAAGTTAAGGAGAGCAAATTGAGCTCTTCAATGAATAGCATCAAGACCTTCTGGAGCCCAGAGCTGAAGAAAGAACGAGCACTGAGAAAAGATGAAGCTTCCAAAATCACCATTTGGAAGGAACAGTATAGAGTTGTGCAGGAGGAAAACCAGGTTAGTTATATATGTATGTTTACCTTTATTGGCTGAATTCATGTATATAAATGAAATGAGTCATTGTTTTTCTTTTCTTAATTAAATTTTCCCCTTCTTAGTTCCTTTTTCCTATTTATTACAGTATTTTCTGTTTTCCATTTTTTCAGTCTTTTCCAGATTTCGTGTCACTCCTTGTGCTCTGTATATGTATATATATATTTTTCTATTTGCTTTGTCAGCTTGTTCCCCATTCTAGCTCATTCCTTTCTTTCCCCTGGCTTCTTTTCTTCTTTCTGTCTTTCCTCTCAGCCTATTTTGTCTTTCTCAGTTCTTGTAAGAATATAAGTTTTCCACACACCCTGACGTCTATTACTAAAATTACTTATATGTAAGGTGATGCATTAAGATTTGCTATAGTAAATGTCAGAAAAGTCTATTTTTTTAAAACAAACTATTGAAAGGCAAATTAATCTTTTCTACATAGAAAGGAAATTATTTTAAAAGTTTCATATTGATGATGTAAATATTTATTATGTACCAACAATATAGTATCTTTCTATTGACATTTATGTAGGTATGATATCATGGAAGATGCTCATGTAACTATTTCATTCTGGTTCTTTAATTCTTCAAATTTTAGGTGGAGGAATGGCAGCCTGGTTGCATCTAGAAAAATAAACGAATTGACAGGGTCATATTCAGTGACATATTTTATGATTCCAAAGATGTGAATAAATCGGTCCAAGCTTCAGCAGTTGAAATCTTAAAGCAATTTCTGTAAAAGACTTCTACAACATTTCTTAAATTTATGAACTTGAATTATTTGCTTCCTTAGAGAAACTCTCTCATACTCTTCAAGGAGAGTTTTAAAGCAGGTAGTTCACTATTGGCATTATACTTTACTTTTGGGTTAGGCTAATAAGAATTATGAAGAAACTAATAAACTTACCTAGAAGTCTGCAATATTTTTTCAATTTAAAATTTTATTTTTTATATAATTTTGTGGATGAGAATATACACAGCAAGTCAGACACCAATTCAGCATTTTCTGTGTGTATCATTTAGTGACATTGGTGACATTCTTTAAGTTGTGTAGCTGTTCTTACCCACTGCAGTGTTCCTGAATGGTGCTAGAAATAAAGAAGCAATTAGAAATAGTCTCTGTATTGGGTGAGGTAAATCTCATTTAAATTCTGTGTTGATTGTTCTACCATTCTTTTACACATACTCAGTTTAGTTATTCATCTCTACTGTCTTGGTTACATGAAGCCTTTTTTGGTTACATTAAGTTTTATATGTTAAGACTCCAGACTTACTTTTTTTTCAGCAATAAAAATAGCTTCCTTTTTCTTATCATAAAAATAATATAAAAATACATAGATAGGAAGGTAAAATTTACCCCTATCCTTCCATGTACCGATAAGTTTGTTGTTCCACTGTTAGCATTTTGATATTTTTGTATACACTCATACAAATTTTACATGAGTGGGATATGATAGGTGTCATGATGTGACCTCATTTTTTTAGCCAACATTTCTACTGTAAAGTTCCATCAAACATATTTAAGTCATTATGTTTAACACCAATATATAATTCTTAAGGAGCTCTGGTGGTGCTGTGCCTAAGGTATTTGACTGCTAACTAGAAGGTTGGTAGTTCAGACCCACCAGATACTCTGTGGAAGGAAGAGGGCATTCTACTTCTGTAAAGATTTACTGCCATGAAAACCCAGTGGGGGGTTGCTGGGAGTCAGAATCCACTTGATGACAGTGGAGTTTGGTTTGGCTTATGTATAATTCTAATATGTCTGTACTAGTTTATTTAACTAATATCAGAGTTAAAAAATCTTTGAATTTATTTGATAGTACAATGCAAATTAAAAATGAAACCTTGGATTCATTTGAATAAATAATTTCAAAATATTTATAAATTTTGATACTTTTTCTCAGATACATTGTAACATCAAGCTGCTTTTTAACCAGCGATTAATTTTTCATTACACAAAACTGGAATGTTTTATTAATGTACTTTAATGTCTAACTCTCTTAGAGAACCAGACTTTTTAAGGAAGAGAAAATGCCCTTTTGAAAAATAATTCTTTAGAAGTTCTGTGATTTTAAGTCTTAAGGTTTTAAAAATGTAAAAAGAAAGAGAAGAGCTAAAATAGACCCGAGTGACAGATCTTAGAATTAAAAAGATTTTAAATGATGGCTTAGGTCCATCTGTATCAACAAATATGTTTGCTTAAAATACAGATTTCCAGATCTTGCTTCGTATTTACTGAATTAAACTATCTGGAGACAGGCTGGGAACCTGTATTTTAAACAAGTTTCTCTGGTGTTCTGATAATAAATCATATTTGGAATCTTTAGAATTTAAACCTATTGCCATTTTGTTGATTCTGACTCATAGCGACCCTATATAACAGGGTAGAACTGCCCCATAGGGTTTTCAAGGGTGTAGTCTTTAGGGAAGCAGACTGTCCCATCTTTCATCCATGGAATGGCTAGTGGGTTCAGCCTGCTGACTGTTTGGTTAGCAGCCAAGTGCTTAACCACTGTGCCACCTTACTCTTTAGAATTTAAACTTGTCTGTTGTCCATCTTTCAAAGAGAACTTGATGTGGTTCTTTCTGTAGAACCATTTTTAAGCTGAGTTGCATAAGATGGGAAAAAGAACAAGGGACCATTCACTCAGTGATTCATTCTTTCCCCTGTCAGTTACACCTCAGGAATGTGACATATTCCTATTTATAATGATCATTAACTCTGACAGTGGCCTTTAGTAGAGAGGATATATGTAGAGAAAAGGAGTATTTCAAATATCATATATATTTAAACAAAAATGATTTTGCTGTCTCCCCACCTTGTGAATCACTAGTGCACAAACTAAAATAGTCAAATGATTTATGACAACAAAATTGGGAAATGTTTTTCTTTTTTTTTTTTTGTCTTTAATTTTTATTGTGATTTGGATGAAAGCTTACAAAGCAAATTCATTTTCCATACACATTTTGTTCATACACATTTTGTGTCATGACATAGACCTCAATTCCTCACAGCTCTCATCCCATTTCTTCCCTGTAGTTACCTCTTCTCTGTGTCCTTGTTTCCTATGCATTCCTGCCGCCTGAGCTATCTCCCCATGCAAATACTGCCATTCTGTTCTTCCATGACTTATTGTTTTAAGTGTGTCTACCCGATGTAAATATTTGCCTCATATGCCTGTATATTGTTTGGCCAGAAGCCACAGAAGTGAGTTCAGTTCCAGACCTGAATAGTATCTAGGGGCTGTAGTCTTGGGGGTCTCATCAGCCTCTCTCAGACCAGTAAACCTGGTCTTTTTTTATAATTTTGAGTTTTGTTCCACATTGTTCTCCCACTCTATCTGGGATCTTCTGCACTCCTCCCTTTCCAAGTGGTTGACATTGGTGGCCTGGTACCATCTAGTTCTTCTGTCTCATGGTCATATAGGCTGAGGTTCACGTGGTCCACTTGTCCCTTGGACTAATTGTTTCCATGTGTTGTTGGTTTTCTTCATTCTTCTTTGCTCTGGCTGAGGGAGAGATGTCCATTGTTACATCTTGATGGCCGCTTGCAGGGTATTTTATTTATTTTTTTTAATTGTGATTTAGGTGAAGGAAATGTTTTTCTTCAGTTGACATTTTAGGTTGTCAGGAAGTGGAGTACAACATGAAAAATACACCATTCTTAAATATTAAAAAAAAATGTAAGTTTTTATAGTTGAGATAATGAGTATCAGGAGAGAAAAAAATGAATTTGCTTTCATTAGTCTTGTGGTCAAGTATCAGTGTGGTATAGGTTTTAGAAACCTGATCGGTATATGTGTTCCTAGAGTAGGTATTGGGTCTTTAACCTTTGTAAAAATGAGGTGGGTAAATTTGGTGTATCCACTGGGAGTACATCAGTGCATAAATAGGAGGTTCTTTGGATGTATTTGGACAATTAAACATCATAGTGCATCATAGTTGGGTATTATCCAACCTCAAAGGTACTTTTAATAACATTTAGAATTTACTTCCATTTACCATGGAAGTGGATGAGACATAATTTATTGAAAGAAATATTGTAGAAAAATTACATGTGAATAAACACCTCCCTTTAAAGTAGCTTTCTTTTTTTAAAAAAAACAAAAAGCTCTGCCTTTCATAAATAGACTGTGTATATTATTATTATTATTTTCTTCTATTTTAAAATGCCTCACACTGCTTTTGTTACTGAACTTTCAAATACGGTGATTGGAGAGACTGGATTAATACATATTTTACTAGGGAAAGCTTTTTCTTTTTCTTGTTCTAAATTGAGGATAAAGAAGGTTTTTAAAAATGTATATTTGCTTGATGAAGAATAAAAATCTCACTGTGAGCTTGGTTAATTTATAGAGCTTAATAAAATAGATATTAATCACTTTAAATAAGTGATTTGGTAGAAGTTGAATTGGCCTCCAGTGTACCTTGCTGGTGATGCTGAGAGTATGTCCATCAGTAAGATGGTTATTATTATCAGGTGACTCACAAATGCTCATTTTAATGAGGAAAAAAGTTGGCATACTTTGTTTTGAAATAGGTCTGGTGACATAGTGCCTAAGGCACTTGACTGCTAAACAGAAAGCTGGTCGTTCAGACCCACCAGTCACTCCTTGAAAGGAAGACTGGCCAATCTATTTCCATAGAGGTAGCGCCTTGAAAATCCAAGGAGAGGTTGCAATGAGTCAGATGACTCCATGGCAGAGAGTATGGTTTTTACACTTTAAAAGCCATGGGGTGGGTGGGTGGGTGGCGTGCTCAATTTCCTTTCTAATTATGCAGCTACATTGAAAAGTAACACACTTAAATCTTCTGAAGAGACTGTAGGAGGCACTCAGCACTTCATCCAGTGGAAGTCAAACAGTCCAGAGGATGACGATGCCAAAAAAACCATGTGTGCTGAAGAAGGGCAAACACTGCCTTATCTAGATTCCACCCCTTGCCCTAATTAAACACCAGTTCTGGCAGGAACT